TTGCTGAGGCCTAGTGGCGAACTGAGGGAACTGGTGCCTGGGAGGTTTTAAAGCTGCGTTGTCCAATAGGATAGCCACCAGTCTGTGTACTATCGAGCCCTTGAAATGTGGCCAGTGAGGCTGAGGAACTGATTTTAAAATTTTATACACATTTAACTCATTTAAATATCGAATTTTAAACACATACTCAGTTTACATATTGGAAAACTTTCTGTTTGGGACAACTTGGATATGTGAGTCTACTTTTTCAACTGGAAATTTGATGAAATCTAAATAGAAGTTAATTCTTTCTGTAAATGTCCTGTCCCAAATAAGATGTGCTAGTAAGTGTGAAATGCATGCTGGGTTTTAAAGACTTAGTACAAAAACAAAGAATAAAAATCTTAAATAATAAAAGGCTAAGAGGCAAATCGACCAAACGGTGGAATGACTGGTCGCTATGATGCGCACTGACCACCAGGGGCCAGCCACTCAACGCAGAAGCCAGGCTTGTTGGCGAGCGTAGCTGCAGCGGCAGCACTAAGGATGTCCGAGGAGCGGGCCTAAGCCTCAGTCGGTCATCCCCCTAGGGTTCCCGGACTGCGAGAGGCCACCTCCCCTCCACACCCCTACTCACGAATCTCGTGTACCGGACCTCTAGTTATGTAATATTTTCATATTGATTGCATGTTTGGATGTAAATAAAATATATTATTAAAATTAGTTTCACCTGTTTTTTCCTTCTTTTTTTTTTTTTTCTTAATCTTCACCTGAGGATATTTTTTCAATTGCTTTTTCAGGGAGAGTGGAAGAGAAGGAGCCAGGAGGAGAGAGAGGGAGAGAGAAACTGGTTGCCTCCTGCACACGCCCCAACCACAGGCAGGAAGTGAACCCCCAACCCAGGTATATGCCCTTGACCAAGAATTAAACCCACAACCCTGCCCTAGCTGGTTTGGCTCAGCGGGTAGAGTGTCGGCCTGCGGACTCAAGGGTCCCAGGTTCGATTCTGGTCAAGGGCATGTACCTGGGTTGTGGGCACATCCCCAGTAGGGGGCGTGTAGGAGGCAGCTGAATCGATGTTTCTCTCTCATCGAAGTTTCTAACTCGCTGTCCCTTTCCCTCTCCCTTCCTCTCTGTAAAAAATCAATAAAATATATTTAAAAATAAACAAAACCCCACAACCCTTTGGTGTGCTGATCGACGCTGTAACCACTGAACCACACCAGCCAGGGCTCTTCTTACTCTTTTTAAAAAAATATATTTTACTGATTTTTTTACAGAGAGGAAGGGAGAAGGATAGAGAGTTAGAAAAGGATAGGGAGTTTATTGATTCCAGAGAGGAAGGGAGAGGGGGAGAGAGAGAAATATCAATGATGAGAGAGAATCATTGATTGGCTGCCTCCTGCACTCCTCCTATTGGGGATCAAGTCCGCAACCTGGGCCCATGCCCTTGACCAGAATTAAACCTGGCACCCTTAACTTCAGTCCGCAGGCCAATCTATCCACTGAGCCAAACCGGCCAGGGCTCGTCTTACTCTTTTTTCTTTCTTTCTTTCTTCTTACTCTTTATGTGGCTACTAGAAAGTTTAAAATTACATAGGGCACATTCTATATTCCTATTGGACAGCGCTGTTTCAAAGCATTTGCACAAAGCTATTCTTTATCCTCCTGTCCTGCAAACCGTTTTTCAGTGCACAGCTCCCAAGCTAGCAGGTAGGTGCTCAGAGACTGATGTTTCCTGGGAGGGGCTGTGCCAGGGGCCATGTCACCGAGAAGCAGTGCTTGGCGCTGTGGCGGGTGAAGGAAGGTGGCCCATGCTCTAGCCTGAGGCTCCACTCCAGGGAACAGAGACCCTCGGGGCACCTCTCCCTCTGGATTTGCTGTCTTGCTCCCTGTGGTATCTGGCAGATGGGTGCCTGGGTGGGAGGGAGGAGGCTGTCACTTGCCGGGGGCTTCTTGCCAGGAACTGAAGAAACCCCAAAAGGAGAAATGCCAATCTGAGGAGCAAACCCAGCCATCTCAGGAGTCACATCAGGAGCCAGGGCCATCACAGGTACAATCGCCACCATCACCACCACCACCACCACCGCAGCCACAGCCACAGCCACAGCCGCCATGTCAACCACGGCAACAAAATGCCCAAGACCCTCTTACCCAGCTCAGTTCCAAGCACAAACTCCAGGATTCCCAAAAGCCTGGCCCCCAGCTTGATTCCATGGGGGCCCATCAAGCTAAAGGACAATCCAGCTGCTTTCAGGATAAACTCCAAGGAGGGCAGAAAATCGCTCTAGACCCCGGTAAGTGTGAGGCTGTCTCCCACCCCTGCCCGGGGGCCCAGAACCCTCGTTTGTTACCCGCCGTCCCACCGTCCGTGATTCGCCCTGGCACCGGGGCTTTTCCTTGGGGACATTCCCTCTGAGTGTTTGTGCCAACCTGGCACTGCCAGGGTGGCTTCCAACTTCTGCAGAGGCTGGCCGAGACAGACGTTGTCAACCCTTCCTCCAGGGGAGGGGGACAGAGGCGGGTGAGGGTGATCAGAGGGTGGGATGAGTCGCAGGCTTAGCCACAGATAATACGGAGCCCGGTGAGGCCTGGGACAGGGAGTCACCATTCCTAGTTGAGAAATTCAGGGTGGGCTCAGTCTGTGCCCAGCCCCAGGTAGGGGCTGCCACCTCCCCCCGGTCACACAGTGAAGTCTGTCTCTGCCATGTTCTAGCCTCAGAAACAGCCAGATGAGTAACATGTGCTTTGTTTCATCATCAGGTTTCAGGAAAGCAGACCAACCCTGCCCAGCTACATACACAGTGAAGCCACGCTTCACGGTGAGACAGAACGTGCAAGGCAGGCAGGCAGGGTGTCTGAGTGTGGGCTTGTGGGCATGTGAGCGTGGAGTCTGGAGAGCTTTCCTGGCAGGGGTCGGGGAGGGGCTGCAATTATTTCACCTCTAGATGGTCCATTCCCCCATCCCCACCCCCTAAAAATGTCTAAATAGGGGCTGTTGCTCAGCACTAAGCATAAGTGGAGGGGTTGGCAATCTATTTGGAGAGAGAAGACAGGTGCCAGAGAAGCAAAATAAGGGAGTGTTTTTTTTTAAAAAATGTATTTTTATTGATTTCAGAGAGGAAAGGAGAGGGAGAGATAGAAACATCAATTATGAGATAATTATTGATCGGCTGCCTCCTGCATGCCCCCGCCCCTCACTGGGCATGTGCCCAGACCGGGAATCAAACCAGTGACCTCCTGGTTTATAGGTTGGTGCTCAACCACTGAGCAATGCAGGCCAGGCAAGGGGGGCTGTTTAAGCGCTGGCTGCGGTAGAGGCAGCTGGAGCAGGAGGAAGCCAAGACCTGCAGTAACGTTGTTGGTCTCAGGATCACCACGCCCTAATAGTATGACTTCCCCTCCGAGCTTTGTTGTCCCCTCCATAAATTAATAAATAATACCAGCTCCTGCACAGAGGGTTCACGAGGACTGCATGTGGCAGTGCCAAGAGGAGGCACCAGAAGCGCTTAGCTTAGCGACTGGCTCATTCCAATTCCTTTCAGGATGAGGACTGGGCTGTTACATTTCACTCTGATTCCTTCGGCCTCAAAAGGCTTAATGCTCTGACTCTAAGAAGCCCAGAAACTGCTAATTTCCATGTTTTGTCTCCTGCCCCGCCTTCATTTCAGTCAATGGATTACATACAGCAGTGGTGATCCACTGACAGACCCCAGGCCCAACTGGCCCTCAGTAAACAACAGATGAGCAACTCCACCTTCTCACCACTCAGCAATGTCTGCGCTCCAAAGGCCATGCCCTTCTGGTCCATTCCAGAACAGGAGGCTAGCCCAGAATAAAATGACTTCTTCCTGCAGACTTGAAACTGGTCAGCTCTGTGAGACTATGAGGGGAAAGAGGCAGGAAGACCCATGAGGGGGAGAAAAAAACACCCATGAGGGGATGGAGAGGGTGGAGAAGAAAGTGGAAAGCAATTGCATGCTTCTCTAGGCAAAGCCAGTGGGAGAACTGGCCTTATACTCCCAAGTCTCCAACTCCAGCCTTTTCTTTAAGAAAAAAAAGTTTTTGTGTGTGTTTTTTTCAGAGAGAGGAAGAGAGAAACATCAGTGAGAATCATTGATAGACTGCTTCCTGTACGCCCCCTACTGGGGATTGAGCAGGCAACCTGGGCATGTGCCCTGACCAGGAATCAAACCGTGACCTCCTGGTTCACAGGTCAACGCTCAACCACTGAGCCACACTGGCCGGGCTGGCCCTTTTCTTTAGCAATGATAGTTCTGTTGGGGCTTCAGGTTTATGACTCTCACAGGAGCCATCACCCCTTCCTCCTAGCTGATGCTTACTGAGATACAGCCGGGGAAGGAGGGACTGGCGCCCACCAAGCAGGCCTGGGCAGCAGTGGGAAGAGGTGGCAGCCAGGGAAGGACCGCCCCAGTCCAGTGTAATTCCTGGCCCACAGTGGGCATCCAGCTGTTGAATGGTTGATGAGAAGCAGGATTGGAGAGGCAGAGCTCAGAGTGACGGAGAGCTATAGCCTCAGGTACAGGACACCGGGCCCTGGAAGGGGAGAGGGATTAGCCTCTTCCTTCCTGGGTGTCAGCCTTTCCAAGGAGCAGAGACAGTCAAGAGGCCCCAGAGGCCCAGGAGTCCCCCTGACTACTTCCTCAAGCTGACACCAGGGTCCTCCAGCCCGGCCCCCTCCCCCCTGGGACCAGGGAGGGGGATGCCTGGGTCTTGTGGCCCACACAACATCACCTTTGTCAGATGGAAGGAGCCCTTCAGTGCACTGTTTCTTGAGGGGAGCAGCTTGGGGGGGGGGGCACACAGAATAGGACTAAAGTTGGAAGGGGCCTTAGAGATACATGGTGAGAAAGGGAGCGAGCCATCTCTCAGAAGCCAGAGGCAGGACACGTTGTCAGGGGCTCGGGGCCTGGGGAAGACACCTTGGCACTCCTGGGACATCAACACCAGGCTGAGATGGGGCATGACCACCAGCTCCCTTCCCGCTCACAGGAGACTTCTTCTTTAAACATTAAGTATAGTTTATTGACTACAATATAAATTCTTTACATTTGGCAACCTACACACAGAAGAAACTCTAACCCGGCCTTCCTGGAGTCCCCCACTCTTGCCAGCACCACCTTGACCCGTTACCCAGACATGAAAATGTGGAGACAGCACAACCTCCTTCCTCGCTCTTGTTCCCCCAGCCCACCAGGCACCAGGCTCTGTCACCAGTCCCCCTCTCCACCCATCCTCCTTCAGGTTCAGCTTTCTCCACCACCCAAGCTCATCTCTCTGCCCGCCTGATAAAAAACAGTCACCTTTAGTGAGCAAACACCACTTCTGCTCACTAAAGAAGGAAACCGCCTCCACGTGGAGCCCAGGGGGACCTGGAGGACTTAGCTTCATCTGAGTGACAGCAAAGACCAGTCCCTACTGATGTGCTGTCTCTACCGTCAATGCCCAAAGGAAAGCAGAGGCCTCTGGGAGGTGGGCCCTGGTGTGGCAGAGCCCAGCAGCCTGGCCTGCCTGTGTCTCCTCGCCCAGGCTCAGGGTTATGGGCTCACCACCGGCCAGGGGCTCTCCTTCAATAAATAAACATCTGTTAAAATGACTCTGGCTTTGTCTGTCTCCCCCGCCGCCCCTCCCCCCCCAATGGGTGCCAGGTGCCTCCCTCCCCTCCCCTGCTACTTTAAGTTGCTCTTGCTCTGAAGAGAATAATAAACTGTTTCACGGGGGAGAAGCTGGAGCTGTCTTCCTGGGAACCAGGACAGTCTGTAACCAGGAAGGATGCAGAGCCTTGGCCAACCCAGCTGTCAGACGGGCAGGGGACAAGTTCCCAGGAGCAAAGTCGATCATCACCATCACTTTGTCACACAACCCAAACAGGGAGGCACAGGCGAGCATCTGTGTTCTGCAAAAGACCCTGGAGACCGCACTGCATGCCCCCCAAGTCGCTTTCCCATCACTCGGTGGAGAACCTGAAAAGATGCATGTCTTTAACGCTGGATACGACGCTTTCTCACATTCAGGCAGGAGGAAGGCCAGACCTGAGGAGCTGGACAACTAGAACAGAGAGAGCAGGGGCCACTCCAGGGACTCTAACTCCATGGAAACATCATGTCAGACTTCCCTCAGGCCTGACCCAGGGAAGGACCTGGTGGCAGCCCCGAGGAGAACCCGGCTTCCGTGCCTGTGGGGATCGGAGCGCTTCCTGGGTGTGGGTGGGGTGGGAGGGTGTGATAAAGCCGGGCTTTTCCGTTGGCCAAGTCACCACAGTCCGTCCTTGGGCCCCACGGAGCTGTGAGAGATACAGACCAGGCTGGCAGGTGCCTAGAGTTTGGGGACAGCAGACAGGTCACAGCAGGTGAGGGACCAGCAAGTGGGGCCCTGATGTGTTTTCCCGGCAGTCCACGTACTCATAGCTCTGGAAGACTTTCTGCTCTGAGTGGCTCAAGCAGATGTAGGTCACGGTGCCCCTGGAGAGGAAGCAGGCTTGGCTGTGATGTCTGGGAGGAAGAGGAAAGCTCTGGCCGTGGCCTGCTGTCTGGGGGTGGGGGGGTGGCTCCCTCAGGTCCCACCCTCCCTTTCTTGTGTTCCCCACTCTGCTAAGGCAGCTGAGGTTGCTGCCTCACCTGTGTTCCAGACAGCTCTGTGGCCGTCACACCAGAAGCTTAGGAGCAAGGTGGGACCTAGAGTAGGGGCTGGACCTGCTCTTCCCAAGAACTAACAGATCCATGGGGTCACCTTGGTAACTCTCCTCTCACAGGTGAGGCTGAGGAGAGACTGGAGTCAGAAGTGGGAGAGGTCCAAGCCCTACTTACTGGATGTGCAAAAGCACATGGTGGACTTTGATTTTCAGCCAGCTACAGATTTTGCTGAGAGAGAGAGAGAGAGAGAGGGAGACATTGGATCATGTGCAAGAACTAACAGATCCATGGGGTCACCTTGGTAACTCTCCTCTCACAGGTGAGGCTGAGGAGAGACTGGAGTCAGAAGTGGGAGAGGTCCAAGCCCTACTTACTGGATGTGCAAAAGCACATGGTGGACTTTGATTTTCAGCCAGCTACAGATTTTGCTGAGAGAGAGAGAGAGAGAGAGAGAGAGATTGGATCATGTTTCACACTGAGTGGCCATCAGAAGGCTTAAAGGCTTGCAAGTCCCAGCCTTGTCACCTTCTAGGCCCCTTTCCCTCAGGGGCCCTAAATGCCACCCCCCACCCCCCTCTGACTAAGGAGTATGTCATCCTCCTTGCGACATCACTCCACCAATCCCAACCAGCTTGGCCCAGGCACATGCTGGCCCCTCCCTCACCAGAAAATGACATTCATCCTCAGCAATTCAGGCTAAAGAGCCCCAGGTCACATACTGTAAGGATTAAGGAAATGCTAGCCTGTTCCTCATTCCAATCTAGTTCTAAACAGGAGGAGAGCCTGGGGACCCTGAACACTTCCTTGCACATTGCAGCCTCAGCCATGAGTACAGGCCAAAGACGGGCTGCAGGGTTTTTGCTAAGCAATCAGAAAGCCTGGTGGGGATTAAAACCACGTTTCCAAACAGAAAAGAGGCAGAGGGAGAAGAGATCAAGGGGTACTCACTATGTGTTTTCATCCAAGATCCTGTTGGCTACTGCATAAAAAATCTGTCAACCAAATGGCACGGGGTTAGCCCCAACTCCAGCCGTCACCCGCTTCCCACCACCTCACCCATCCACACCACTGTGGGCAGGGCTGGCCAGGGAGAGGGAGACACCTGTTTACTGGCCAAAGGGCCGATGTGGAGGAGGAGGCTATTTGAGACCTGCCCCACCACGACGGACAGGTGCAGCACCTCAATGGTTAGCTGGGTCACAGTGATGGGGTAGTAGTTGCTATTGGAGATGTTCAAGATATTCTGGGGATGAAGACAAGGAAAGGGAGGGGTGAGTGTGGCCATCCTTGGAAAGGAGAAGTCAAACAGTTTCAAAACCCCCGGCCTGACTGAGCCCCACCCCGATATGGACCTCAGCTGCTGAGGACAGTGCCAGGAGCCCCTCTCGGGGCTCTTACTGGTGAGGAGTCACTTTAACTAAAACATTAAGCCGGCTCGGGATCCAGTCCCCCCTGCCCACCCAGGGAGCCTCAGGCACGCCACTCCCATCACACCCCGTGGTTTATTTCTTGGGCCCTGATTCTGACCCTTCACTGTGGAGAGTCCCAATCCTACGCAATCTGGGGTTCAGGGTGGCCCCTGCTTCTCCCCAGGTTTCTAACCCCCTCTGGGTGCCCAGGATCGCAACACTGGGCAAGGGCTACAGAGGAGTATTGCTGGGAAGGTGGGGGTCAGAGCCCAGAGGCACAGGCACCCACCTACCGTTATGTTGATGTAGACAGTCTCGTCCAAGGCCACAGTGGAGGAGGAGTTGAGGCCTGCAGGCTGCGTGTCGATGGACCGGGGAAACAGGAAAAAGATGGTGAGGGAGGAGGTCACCAGGCAGATGAGCACTGCCAGGAACACGAAGAGCTCCCTGTGGTAAAGTAGGACCCAGGGGAGAGGAGTGGAGAAGTCTGAACCTCAAGGGAACTGAGGTGCTCCTCTCCACATGCAAGGCTCTCCAATGCATCCTACACCCCCCCCGCCCCCCCCGCCATGTAGCCCCCTGGATGTGGAGGGCCAGCCTACACTCCGATGTGGCACTGAGCAAGTAGGAGCACAGGACCAGGTGGCAGACAGCTTGGCTTCCATTACTAGCTCTCTGGTCCAGTGCCTCTGAGCAACCCTAAGCCTCAGCTTTCTTGCTTGTTAAAATGGAGATAACTGTCCTTACCTCATAGAATTTGATATACACTAATGCGTGAAAAAGCACCAATCCCAGGCCCTGGCACATAGCTAAAGCCCCTGTTACCACTGGGAAAAGCCAGTCCACATGAATTCTGAGAGTTGTGAATATTCAGAACAGGACATCATCTGTCATTTAATTTAAAATTGAGATGGGCATTAAAGCGATAGCACCTTGTGAGTGTCTCATGAGTGGCACTGTTAGATTTAGATTCTGGTGCCGTGGTGGGGAGGGCGGGTGCTGGCTCCCAGATCGAGGCTGAGAACTGTGGGAGGGGACTGCAGGGATCCTGTCAAATAGACCCAGATGATCATCAGGGTCACGACACCCCAGCCCCGGCTTAGAGACACTCAGGGTTGCCTCTAACGCTCTGAAGTGTCTCCGAACAGGGGGCAGCTGGCTTCCCATCTCTCCTGGGAAGAGGACAAGCATGTCTGAGCTGCCACAGGGGGGAAGCTCTTAGGAAAAATAACTTCCCCAGACAAACTGCAGCCAGGACCACCTCCCTCCCTCCTGGAAGGACTTGCAGAGTCAAGAGGTCCTCTGTTTTCAAAAGGGAGCCATGGCCCAGCCGGGGAGGCTCAGTAACTGAGCGTCAACCCATGAACCAGGAGGTCACTGTTTGATTTCAGTCAGGGCGCGTGCCCGGGCTCGATCCCCAGTGTGGGGCATGCGGGAGGCAGCCAATCAATGATTCTCATCATCGATGTCTCTATCCTTCTCTCCCTCTCCCTTCCTCTGAAATAGAAACCATTTAAAAAAAAAAAAAAGCAGTTGAAGAAAGAACAAAGCAAACACTAGATGAATTTGTCAAAATTTAATGTT